ACCTTTCCCCAGAGCTAACAAAGAGAAAGCCTTCACCCAGAACCAACACTCTGAATTTGGACTTCTAGTTTCCTAAACAGTGAGAGAATAGATTTTGGTTGCTAAAGCAAGTAGTAATAATAATGATTATTATTTTTGACAGTTGACTATACATCTTTTTAATATTCTGCACATTGAAGTAAAAGAGTAGTCTCAAGAAAAAGCACTGTGTGATTACTTTGATTAGAGAGACAAACTAGCAAAATTATTTTCATGGAGCACCATTTTTACTTCAAGAATAAATGACAAACTGGTTATTCAGTCTTGACACAAAAATCAGAATTCTGGAAAACTTGTATGTGTCACCAGGAGCCTGTCAGTTTCTTAAAAAGACATTTGATGAGATGGGTGATAACATTAACATCTATATAACAAAAGCTGTCAACATTCAGAAGATCTGGCTAACTCACTGAGCCAGTAATTTCCAAATGATCAATGAATTTTAATGTAACAGTATAATAGTTCAATAAAATAGTTGAGATTCCATATTTTAACTTGTTTTTGTTAAAGGCTGTCAAATCAGTTCCAGCTCATAGTGACCCTATATAGGGTTTCTGAGGAATGGCTGGGGGGGTCTGAACAGCTGAATTTATGGTTAGCAGTTCAATGCTTATCCTAAAGCGCCACACCAGAACTCCATATTGTAACTAACCTTTAAGAAACAACCTCTTGAAAAAAAGACTAATCTGATACATTTTGATGAACTTGACCTATACCTATGGATGCAGTATCTCAAAAGAGGGAAGAAATCTTTACAGCAAGGATCATTAACACCCCTTCCGTACACAGAGTAGACAGGGATGGGTAACTTGGACATTGGCTACCCAAAATGGGGGGGCTGGAGGGGCTACAAAGGCAAGAAGTGACTGGCTTACAAGCTTTCAAGAGGGAGGCTAGATCCAGAGGGCATGGAGGAAAGTAGAATCTCCACTGAGTAGTAGCCAATCTGTCTGGGTGGGGCTGATGAAAGGAGATGGGGATAAGTCTCCTGTGGTACAACAGTGAATAACTGTTGTCAGAACTGACTGTGAGGTTTGGAAATGTAAAGGTAGACGTTTTTGTAGCAAAAGGAGGGGAGTGATTGACTTTGCAGTCCAGGAGCGGAGGGCCCTGGGACCATCAAGGGAGAAGAGCGGAGTGTGGGACCCTACCCAGAGAAAAAGTGACTCCAGAGATGGAGACAGAGACGATGACATGGAGAGATGGAGTGGCTGGGGACTCCAGACCCAGAGAGGGCGAGGGGCTGTGTGCTAATGACTTGGGGGGAGGGGAAGAGTAGGCTTGCAGGGTATACACTTTGGTTGGGTGATAATGCATGGAGGGGATTGTAACCATGGCAATGAAACAATATATGATAGAATGAATATTCTCCCATGTAAACTATCACATAATTCACAATAAAACATAAAAAATAAAAAAAAAATAAAAAAAGAAGAAACAACCTCGTGGTTCAAAGTCATAGCAAACCTGTATAGGATTTCTGAGAAGTGGCTGGTGAGTTCAAACTACCACCTGTGGTTAAAATCAACTTTGTGACCTAGTGCTTATCCTACAGTGCCACCAAGTCAATTCTGACTCACAGCAACCCTGTATAGGGATTTAACCGCCAGTCTTATGGTTCATAGTTCAGTCCTTTATGCTACTGCCTCATACCAGGAGTCCAGGACTTTTTCCTATACCTACTGTTAAATCTCTAAATTCATAATCCGCTATCCTGTCAACAAACTGCATAATTACAGACGTGCCCTTACTTGGAAAATAAACATCAGTACTATTCTTTACTGCCACCATCTTTTCAACAAACTGCATAATTATAGATGTGCCCTTAATTGGAAACTAAACATCAGAACTACTATCCTTTACTGTCACCACATAAACAATATTACAATAAAATAACTGATGCTTTTCTAATCTGCCAATGTTTTTGGTTCCCTAAAAATTCTGTTTGTTCTTAACTATGTATGAGTTAATGGACATGAATAGAATTTTCAAATAAGAGGATTTATATATATATATATATATTTTTTTTTTTTTGGTACATACATATTGTTATTGCTGTTAAGTGCCATCCTAGAGACCCTATACAGGGTTTCCAAAGAGTGGCTGAGGAACTTGAACCACAGACCTTATAATTCAAACTGAACTTGCAGTCCAACACATTAACCAGCAGTGCCACACTATATAAAAAGTCCTGGTGTGGCACTGTAGGATAATGCACTGAACCAAAAGGTCAGTTTGAACCACAAGGTGAGCAGTTCAAACTCACCAGCCACTGAGATGTATATACAGAGATGGATGTATATGTCCATAAATTGTTATTGTTAAGTACCATAGAGTTGGTTCCGACTCACAGTGACCCTCTGCAGGGTTTCTGAGGCTCTAATTCGTTACGGGAGCAGAAAGTCTCATTTTTCTTCCGCAGAACAGCTGGTAGTTTTGAACTGCCGACCTTGAGGTTAGCAGCCCGATTTGTAACCACTACACTACAAGAGCTCCTTAGTAAGTGCTTTACACACATATATATGCTTATTTGTTCAAGAAAACACACTTACTAAATGACTAATATGTGATGCGGAACCTGAATACAAATACAAAAACATTTGACCACTGTCTAATAAAAAGGCAAACAGCTAAAATGCAAAATTATATGTGCTATAAATAGATGTATCAAATGTGACGGAAGCTTGAGTGGGAAAGAATGCCAGGGAAGGCTTCCCAGAAGAGAACACTGCTTGAACTGAGAAAACGTCACAGAAAACATACACTGCTCACATCTTAGTATCTGGACTGCCATTCTTGTCTGCTCTCATACATATCTCAGTTTTTGTTATGTAAACAAGAACAAAGTGACAATTTGACATTCAAACGGACAAAAGTGGCAAAATTCATTTGACTGCATTCTTAAATGAAGTCTAAAAAAATTAATTTTATCAAAAGCCTTTAAATCCAGGACCTCCATCCTGTCCCAACTTTAGGCTCTAATATCCTCATTTCTTTCACCAAGTAAATATACCATCTGTTACCCAGTTAACGAATGTTTCTTCCTGAAATCATAAGACTGCCAAAGAAATAATCACTGCTAGTTTCTTTTTTGCAGTTAGTTCCTTCCTCCAAACCAAGTTTAATTCTCTGGCCTTACTGTATCACAGCAGTCCTGGTGTAGTACTGTAGGATTAGCACTGAATGGATAACTGAAATGTCGGCGATTCAAATCCATCAGTCACTACTTGAAAACCATACAGAGGGTGGCTCTGAGTCAGGACTGACTCGACTGCACTTAATAACAACACATTGTATCACAATCTTTATTTTGAATTCTGCACCAAAGAAAAACCACAGAGTTCGAAGGTATACAAGAATTGCAAAGTGACTGCTAAGTCTTATCTATATTTCCTGCTATAAATACTGTGGGTCACTAAACTGCACTCTTCTGAATCCACAGAGGATGACACGGGTCAAATACTCAGATCTAAAACAGGAAAATTAGCCAAAGACTTGTAGTTTTATCGATTTGTTTCCAATCAGAACAATGTTCTTTAAGTAACTTTTAAGATGAGTTCTCTTAGTCTAAGGAAGGGTGCCAGAAACGAAGTCTCTTCCTTATTTTGAACAGAACTAGTGATAGTGATGCAGGCAGTCTGCCCCCTTCCACAACCTTTGGTCTCTTAGGTCACAGGCAGAACAAGGCTCAAGCAACACATTTTAAATTAACTTAGCCAGTAGTTTTCCCAGGTTATACCCTTTCCCCTCTTTAGTCAGGAAGCGAAGAATATAGTTAAACATTTCTAAAATGTCTATAATTCCAGCAAAGACGAGCAGGTCAAAACGCTCCCTGGCACCAGTTCCAGCTACTGAAACCATACCCACTAGAGCACAGAATAACCAAAGTGACCACCGAGGCTGGAAACACTGCACAAGAACACAAAATGTTTACCATCTCTGAATTGTAATTTGTACCCATATCCCTACCTTGTGACAGAGTCTCATAACCATGAAGACAATTTGTCCCTACTTATCTGCCCCTCCCACCCCGTAGCCTCCCTGAAGTCCTATAAAAATACCCTTAGTTCCCCTCCTCAGGGAGCCAGTTGGTGGTCCCCTCTCCTTGCGCATCCCGAGAAAGCAATAAACGCAGACACTTTTCTCCTAACCAAAAGTCTTCTTGTACAGCATTCCAATTTGAAACGCTATTTAAGACTAGATCTACTCCCAATTACAGAATGCCTCCTCTTCTCATCCCCGAATCATCAATAATGGGAGAATGAAACCCTCTAGGAGGCGTGGTAGAAAATTTTCTAGACTGAGTCAAGACATCTGGCTAAGCCTGTCCTTTCTCTAGACCTCGGTTTCTCCACCTATAGAACTTGCATGTGATAAAGAAAATGATTGGCTTCAATCATTTCTAAGCGGCTTCAGTAATTCAGAAACCCAATCTCTCTCATCTGGCTTTACAGGGAACACGTGGGAGAACAGAAAATAACCTTTTACGCCACTGACCCGACCCTAATTCTCATACTCTCTTTAAAAGCTAACGAACGCCAAAACTACCCATTTAACCTATTTCTCTCGCAGAAAATAAAAGCCCATTCCCGCAGCTGTGAAAAAGGAAATCTAGGTCTTAAGGCGCAGTCTCTGAAAAAGGGGCGGCCCGCGGCCACCGCAGGTCGGTCAAGCGAATGAATGAGTACAAACAGCTAAATGGACGCTCCCTTAATGTGGGCTGCAACTGGAGACATATCCCCGACCCCACCCTCAGCCCAGACCCCACAAACATCGATTCCCTTCCAGGGCCGGAAGAGCTAGGCCAAGAGGCCGCCAGATCGCGGGCCCCGCCCCCTCCCCTAGGGTAGAAGGTGCGCGACGGGCGCGAGACTACGGCGTTCAGAGGGCCTGGGACGCCCCGCGCACCCGCCCGCCCTGAGGGGAGGAGCCTGTCGGTCCCCGGTCACCTCCCTACTTACCGCGATGCGGTGGGGGAGGAAAAGTGTCAGGAGTGAGGGCCTAGGCCCGTTCGCCACCCGCCACTCACTGAGCAGCGCGCGGCCGCCACGAAACCGTCGCCGCCACCACTGCCGCTACCGACCGCCGCTCCGGGCGCTGAGCGCAGAGGGCCCGACTGCGTCACACGCCGTCCGCCGTCAGAGGCTCGCTCTGAGCGCTCCTCCCTGCCTGAGCATTGGCAGATGATGCCGCCACTCTAGGCCCGCCCTGTTACTCATTGGGCAACTCGTCTTTTGAACCAGAACGTGTGGGCGGTCTTCAGGAGAAGGGACAAGGGGGAAGAGGAGGGGCATGAAGAGTTAGGGACAGGAAAAGGAGAGGAGCGGTGGAAGGGATTATGGAGTCCCGCCCCCACACTGCGGCGGTTGGCTGAGAGAGAGTCGTGGCGTCACACAGGGCCCCTCGAAGTGAGCTCATGAGTGGCTAGATTGGGATGTACCGGGCGGGGTGTAGGAGAGGATGGTGACGCCATGCCGAGGCTCCTCCCTCTTCCTTGGAGCCGAGAGACTCGGGCTGCGGGAGCTCGGGCCAATCAGAAGGAAGGCTCCAGGATGGCATGGTAACTATTCTACCCTTTGGTTGCCTCAGTTCCCCGATGCTGATGGTCATGGTCGCCTAGTCAGCGCTTCTTGGCCTGACCCTATGCATAGCTGGAGGACTCCGGGGAGGTCCGTCTGTCTGCAGAACTTGCCTGAATCTGCTCGGAAACCCCAATTCCTGGACTCCAACCCTAGCACACCCTTCCCCTCTCTGAAGCTCAGTTTCCTTCTTTTAAAGAGAGGCGAGAATTATCTCGGATACCCTGGGATCGATTTTATATTTTTAGAACATTCAAAATGTCCTAATGGAATGGCCCAGCATGAGCCTGGTACAAATAAGTATTCATGGAATTTAGTTCATGATAACAGCTACTCTAGAGTTGCTAAATAGCATGGAGTCGGTTCCTACTCACAGTGATCCTGCATAGGGTGCCCAACTTTGTGGTTTACAGTGCACAGTGCTGATCCTACAGCACTACTCTAGGAGTCCAACAGCTACGCTTGTTGTTGTAAGTGCCTTCGAGTCGGTTCCGACCCATAGCGATCCTGTATAGGGTTTCCAAGGACTGGCTGGTGAGCTTGAACCACCTAATGCAGTTCAAACTGACCTTGCAGTCCAGCACATTAACCCACAGAGCCACACCCAGGAACCCCTTGCCTTCCAGTATATTTCCACCTGGTCCATCCAAAGCTTTAATCTTTGGCTGGTGGGTTCAAACTGCAGACTCTTTGGTTTGCAACTGAGTGCCTAAGCATGGAGAGTTCTTATCAGGCAACCCTTACGTATTAAAGAATCCAATTCAAATGTTCCCACCTTCTCTGGGATACATTTGTCAGCCTGTCCGAGTGGAGCTGAAATAATGCTCCCAGCAGGTCTCTGTCACTTTGTACCCTATTTATTTTCCTGTCTTCTGTATCAGCAACAGAAACCTGATTACAGGAGGGGTGAGCAGTGTTCTAGAGACTGGACTTCTTAAATGAGGTTCTCGTATAAATTAGCAGGAGCTGTGCTCATTCTCAGAAAACACTAGCAGACTACCTCTCCACCACCACCTTTATCAATGCAGAAATGAAATAGGCTCTATTCAAAACATGAAATCCTGGGTTTTTAATAGTAGCAAGGGATTAGTGATATTTGATTTTGTCAAAAAGGAGTGGTTATAAAGATGACATAAAATAAATCTGTTACATTGTAGATGCTTGAAAGAAGTAAAAATGTATGTGTATATTAATGGCCAAATGGTGAAACTAGTTCAAGCACCTGACTTAGTCACCTTCTTTAAACTCCATCCAAACAGTTAATGTACCTTTCTCACTGTCCTCTTGAACCTTTGATTTCTCATCCTCCAATCCTTAAACCCAAATCTGTTCAAGTGTTTCCTGTAGTAATTTACTTTTGTTTTCCAGGCACACAGTAGGTGCACATTAGATGTTTGATGAATGAATAAGTGAAATATTTTCTATATTAAAGAAATAGTAAATATGTTGGACTTTAGAGCCAAAGAACCCTGGGCTTACATCTGGGTTCTAACTAAATATTAGCTGTGTGACCTTGGACAAATTTCCTAACCCCTCTTAACCTCAGTTTACTTGTCTATAAAAGGAGGATAATAACTATAAGTATAGTTGTTGTAAGAATTAAATGATGTATGTAGAGCACTTAGCATGGTACGGGATACATAATAAACCTTCAGTAAATGGAAGGTATTGTTTGTATTCCTTAAAAAGCCAACAACTCTACATGCTCTAAGATATGAAGTCTAACACAGAAAAGGACCTCAGAAATACATCTTAAAGGACTATGACCTATGCAGGTGTGCAGAACTTCTTTCCATTTTATAGCTGAATGTATCATATTTTGTTTATCCATTCATCAGTGGGGGTGTTTCTAGTTTTCAGCTATTATGAATAAAATAATACTGCTATGAACATCTATGAATATCCCCCCCAGTGGACATGTGTGTTCTTGGGTATATAACTAAAAGTGGAATTACTGGATTATATGATAATACTCATATGACATATGGTAACACTGGAGTCTTGGTGTGGCACTGTAGGATAAGCACTGGACCACAGGGTCAGTTTGAAGCACAAAGTTGGCAGTTCAAACTCACCAGCTGCTCCTTGGAAACCCTATGCAGGGTCACTATGAGTTGAACTGATTCTATGGCACTTAGCAACAGCAATAACAATGATAACACAGGAGTTGAAATCAACTCAATGGCAGTTGGTTTCGTTTTGGAATAATAACTCTATGCTTAACTTTTTGTATAACTACCAGGCTGTGGTGCTGTAGGATAAGCACTGGACTGCTAACCACAAGGCTGGTGGTTTCAACCCAACAGCCACTCTTTGGAAATCCTATACAGGGTCACTATGAGTCAGAACCAACTTCATGGCACTTACCAACAACAACCAAGCTGTCTTCCAAAGTGTGTACCATTTTACATTCTCACTAGCAATATATGAGAGTTCTAGTTTTTCCACAGAGTCCTGGTGTGGCACTGTGGGTTAATGCATTGGACTGCAAGGTCAGTTTGTCCTGCAAGGTTGGTGGCTCAAGCTTACCAGCTACTCCAAAAACCCTATACAAGGTTGTTATGAGTTGGAACTGACTCAATGGTCCTTAACAACAACAATTTTTCCACATCCTTGCCAACACTTTTTTTCCCCCCATAAAAAAAATATATAGTTATCCTGTTGTTCTTCTTCTTCTTAAGTGCTGTTGAGTCAGTTCCAACTCATTGTGACCCTGTATAGGGTTTCCAAGGAGTGGATGGTGGGTTCGAACCACCAATGTTGAGGTTAGCAGTCCAATACTTATCCTACAGCCTCACACCAGGACTCTCTAGTTTTGATAAGCATTTCCCTAACGACTAAGACCATCTGTATCTATCCTTTTTTTGCATCCTTTTAGATTATTCTGTTTTTATTTTTATGATATTCTTTAGTTTGGGAATTAAATTCTCTTTTTCTAATATTTTAGTGATTAACCTAGAAATTGCTACATGCATTCTTACAAGTGTTATATTAATATCTTTATAGGAAGTATAGCATTTAATGAGACAAAGGATATAAAGCATTCCAGGCTACATGAACAGGGAGAGCCAAGGTGTGGCGTGAGGAAAGAACTCAGTGTATCCAGGCATGCAAACTGAGACTTCATCCTAGAAGTGATGGAGAAGTCATAGAAAATTCCATAGAACTATGAAGATTTAATTACTGCTTGAGGTAAAGTGGGGCTAGGCAAGATGGATGAACTTGAGTTGGATAGTTTAAAACCATCTAAGAAAGATATCTTTGCCATGAAAAAGATGTCTGGAAAGAACAAAGAACAACTCCTCCTTGGGCCAGGAAGAGGATTGTCTTTTCTGACACTGGCCAGGAGGCAGGGTCAGAGCTTGGCCTGAAGCTGGATGTCTCTAGCCACACTTATCTACGTATATCCCCTCCTCTCTACTTCCCTGCTACACTCCCACTCCCACCCTCACTCCCAGTTGACTTTCTTTAAAGGCCTTTTTACAAAGCCTAACCCACTTCTTGATATATTTAAATTCTGCCCATCCTTCAAATCCCAATTAAATTCAATTCAAGAAATGTTTTCCAAGTTCCTACTGTATGCCAAGCCCTGGACTAAACTGAAAGATACAGAAATGAAACAGAACAGGCAGGATTCCATCCTAACTGAGTTCCCAAGTTGGAAGGTGGAAACAGACAGGCAACAAGTCATTTTGCTTCTGTTGTTAGGCCTTCTGCTGTAATGGAAGACCATCCAGTGCCGCCTGTGTAGTGGGGCTGAGGGCAGACCATGCCATCTAGGGGAGATAAGGATGAAATTGAGCAAAGCTATCTGAAGGAGAGAGGACTAGCTGAAATGTACAATATGTGGTTGCTGAAGTAGAGGGTGGTCAGATATGAAGGATGTTGAATTTTCTTTTGATCCTGAAGGCCCTGGGGAGTTAATAAATAATTGGTAACTGGGGTAGGACATGGTTAGATCTATGTTTTAAGAAAAGTCAATGTGGTTGTAATGTGAAGGGTAGTGGATAGGCAAGACGGCAAGGAGACCAGGGAAGGAGGTCTTCTGTAAGAAGCTGCTCTGGACAACAACATCCCACATTCATTTTTCTTCTGCTGCTTCACAGCTCTGGGCTGTCTCTATGATGCTAGAAGCTGGAATGTCCCTGTGAACAAATGGCTTTGGGTGTTTGGTATTGTTGTTGTCAGGTGTCATCGAGTCGGAACCGACTCATAGCGACCCCATGCACAGCAGAACGAAACAATGTTCGATCCTGGGCCAACCTCACCACCGCTGCCACCCCCGAGTCCATCAATGATGCCACCTGGCCGATCCATCTTGTTGGAGGTCTTCCTCTTTTTCTCTGACCCTCCACCCTACCCAGCATAACATCCTTCTCCAACGATTGCTTCCTCCGGACTACATGTCCAAAGTAGGAGAGACGAAGCTTAGCCATCCTGGCCTCCAAGGAGCACTCTGGCTGCACTTCTTCCAAAACAGATCTATTGGTTCTTTTGGCAGTCCATGGCACCCTCAGTATTCTCCTCCAACACC